TTCGTTTGCTCTCCTTTTGGCCCCGTGACTCTTGCCCGGTGGGCCAGCTTCAACAGTAAGGGGTGGGGTGGGGGTGGCAGGAAAAGCATCATTGCGACCCTGTCTAGCCCATGGCTTGCAGTTTAGGACATTCTCCCAGAAATTAGGGAGACCCCCCCAGGTGGAAAAGGGCCTGAAATCCACATCTCACTTCCAGGGTAAGTTCTTTAACCATTAGGGTGAAAGGTGGGTAGTGGCTTCAGCAGTAGCATAGGATGGATTAGGATCTAAAATTAGTGGGTGCGTCTACTCGAGACACTTTACTGCACATTATGTAAATGTAATGCATGGTGAGGTGTTACCATCTACATGTGTGTGTCAATTCCTGTGCATTAAATTAGTCCAATGCACCGTTTCCTAGTACCAATACATGCAGGTCCTAGAAAAACAGTGCATTAACTAATGGGCCAAAGCGTACATGTAGCTCCTGACCAGAAGCAATTTGCTCCTGGTCAGCCAAGGTAGCAGGGGGCCACAACTGCGTCCTGGCTAAGCCTCAGTCTCTGTGGGATGGGGGTTGGGAGGGTGGGGAGGGTGCTGTTCCGATTGCAGGGCAGCTCCCTTACAGCTCTGGGGAGACTGGGGATGCCCCCAGAGCAGGGACAGGATTGCGGACCAGCCCTTCTCTCCCCCTCCCCCTGGCTGCTGCAGAGGGCCAGAGCAAGGCAGGAGCAGCCTTGGACTGAACTGCTCCCATCAGGAGCAAATTTGTTCCCGATGAGTGCACATTCAGATATGTTCCTGCACAGAGTTTAATGCACCTAAATTTTCTGCTCAGGGGTACACATTGTGCATGTAGACACATCCAGTGTAAGTATAATTTAGTGACACGTACGTGCCTTGGAGGCAAAATAGCATCTGGGTCTAAGTACCATGCAGATGCAGGATAGGTGGAGTCGAATCTGGCCCTAGCTCTTGACATGACCTGCATCTCCAGATATTTCTGGTCCCTGAGAAGACAGGAGAATGAACTGAGGGCAAGTCTGTAGGGTAGTGGACCCAAACAAACTGTAAACTAACTCAGTTGGGTACCGGTGACAGTCTAGCTATGCCTGGACAGAGCTCAGCATGAGCTCTTTTTCTCAGGCAAGTTCTGTAATGTAGACATAACTTTAATCTCCTTTGCTATCCTCCTTGCCTACAAGGTATTGCCTCAAGTAAGCCTTGCCTCAGTTTTAAAGTCCAGTGAGAATAACAATAAAGCTATTATTACCTTCAGTGGTGCAGGAGCGGTGCCTAGGAGATCATCTTACTTCCCTTTCTCCCTAAAGGGCAGCCCAGCCTCTTACCTCCTCATTCTTGTGACACGCCGTTCTTCTCCAGCCTGTTTCAGTTTCCTCCCACCACATTTATCCTCCTTGCTGCTTAGGAAGAGACATCTGCTCTCCCACAGATCCCAATATGTTCTGCAGACCCATACTGCCGCTCCATGTGAAGTAATAGCTGATGGAGCTTAGAATGCGCGTCCCTGGGGAGCGAAAACCTCCTGGGTGGGTCCCCCGGGACCCCCATAGAGAAGATCTTTAGAGGACTGACAGCATGCGGTGCGCTCCCGTGGTATACCTGCCACGCTGAGACAGCCAGCACCGCACCGCGGGGAAGTGACAGAACAGCACGCTCCTCTCTGCTCGTTCTCAGGCCGGTCTGCCCACTCCGCCCCTATGCATGGAGCTCCAAGCTAGCTTCTCTGTCTCCCCCAACACACACACAATGCCAAGGGGTGGCTGGGAAGTGTATTTTCCTCCTGGCACCGCTCAGCAGGGGAGCAGCAGACCGGGTTGCTCTCTTGCTAGATGCTGCCATTCCCTTGCAGGGAATACAAATCCAGCATGCACAGGGCTACCACAAGTCCCAGCCCAGGGAGAGCTAGTGCTGAATATGCAGCATTATACATGCCACGTGTATAATGGCATATACATATAATGGCATATACAGCCACATATATAACTGCGTTGGGCCAAAATCACTTGCACTTTTTGTTCTGTTAAGTTTTTTTTTCCCTGTCAGAGTGGATCTACAGGAGGATACTGGTTGTCTTCAGGAGAAACAATACATCCCGGGGCTATGTTGTGCAGAATTGTTCCTTTAAACTAGAGAGACAGGGAGAGAGAGAGGCCTTGCCTTGAGGCAACACAGCGTAGGGCAGGGATGGCCAACCTGTGACATGCATGCCACAAGTGACACGGGCAGGCTGTGGGTGAGGCACGTGGCAGACTGGGGAGCAGCAAGGCATCACAGCAGCAGTTAAGGCAAGGAGCAGAGAGCAAAGCAGCAGATTGAGCAGGGGAAGGGGATTGAGAGGGCACTCGGGATGGGTGCGGGATTTAATTTGTGGCACGCGTGCCAAAAAGATCAGCCCCCATTGGCTGAGGTCCTAGGGCACTGGTCTGGGATTGATCACAACAATGAGTAACTATGAATTACTATGAACTATGAACCATCTAGGAATCTATGATTTTCAAACATGACCAGTGGGTTTTGAGTAGTTCAGTTGGACCCAAATTGGGATACATTGAATTGGACTAGTTTTCAAAGCTGCTACTCACTGGAAACCTGTCCCCATGCCTCAGTTTTGTGTCCTTGAAATCACTGTGATTAGGATTGCTTCAGTATTACGGCTTCACTGTGCTAGGTGTTATACATACACTTAAGGACGGCCCTGGCTCTCCAGAGCTTCCACTCAGAGCCATGAAGATAAAAAAAAATTTAAGTTCGTTGGCAGTTCAAAAAACCTATTTGGATTCATGCAACATACAAACATACATACATACATACATATATATATATACACACACATATATACATACATATATATATATAAAACATATAAATATGTGTGTATGCATATTTGCATATTTATATATTTACTTTCCAGTGAGGGGGGGGAGGGAAGGGATCCAAGAGGGGTGTAATAAGCTATTTTATTTAATCTAAAATGAAATGTTTCATTTTGATTTAAGAATAAGACTGAAAGTCTTTGGTGGGGGGCGGGGGGTAGAGAACACTTTGAACACAGACAATCACAATGTTTTATTTTGAAAATGCCAGAAGGAAACACTTCAGCTTTTCCAGAATTTCTTTCCCTGAACAATTTCATGAAGCCAACGCCAACTGACAAAACGTTTCAACATTGCCAATACAAATGTGTGGATAGGATCGGGTCAGAAAGGAAGCAGGTGCAGGGATGTGGAGTGATACGAATGGGATTGCACAGCACAAAGATGCCAGGAATATAATCTAATTTTCCATCGACCTAAATTCATTAGGTCACATTTGCCACTTTGGCCACTATATGAATAGCGTTGTGGCATAGGCGAGTGATTCCTTTCAGCTGCACTGCTGTTTGCCCGGGCAGGCCCAGTATCATAATGCAAAGAAACAGTCTGAAAAAAAAAAGAGTTTGACCAAAGCAAATTGGCCATCAATAAACCTTTTGTTTGTAAACACCTTTAAGCAAACACTAGAGAGCTGAATGAATAGCTTTTCTACGTTCATTTCTAGGCAATATCAACCCCCCAGTTGCTTTGCTGAAATGGTACATTAGAAGTATATCTATCTATCTATATCTATATATCTATATCTATATCTAGATAGACGTCTATCTATCTATATCTATCTATATAGCTATATATGTATCTATCTATATATACTATACTATATACTATACTATCTATCTATCTATCTGTCTATCTAGATAGCTAGCTAGCTAGCCAGATAGATAGATAGATAGATAGATAGATATTGATATGTATATCTATCTAGCTGAATGATTAGCTTTCCTACTTTCATTTCTAGGCAATATCAACCCCCCAGTTGCTTTGTTGCAATGGTACATTAGAAGTATATATATCTACATCTAGATCTCTATATATAGATAAATAGATAGATGTCTATCTGTATCTATCTATATATCTATATATTTATCTATCTATATATACTATACTATATATTTATCTATCTATATATACTATACTATATACTTTACTATATATCTATATCTATATTTATAGATAGCTATATCTATATCTATCTATCTATCTAGATAGGTAGATATCTATATCTATATCTATCTATCTAGATAGATAGATATAGATATAACTATGTTAGATCTATCTATGTGGATAGATATATACTTATAGATATATAAGGGAGATGGTAAATGACATGAAGCATCAGGAAGGGAATGAAATGATATGGGCTCAAAATAAAGTGTCATTTCTTTATTCAAATGCAAAAGGCTTCTCTCAGGATGCTTGAATTTAAATTCCACTCTCAGAATACCAATGTCTTTTTAATGGGGAGCCTGTGTATCTCAATATCTCTGCATGTGAACGTAGCAGCTACTAAGGAATAGAAGCACAAATTCACCGGTAAGAGACTTTCAGTACAGACCTGCAGCTTTAAAGATTGCCCCTGGAGAAAATGTGTGTCTGTTTTTACAGAAGCTGCAGGATATTTCTTGGAATACATCTTGCTGGACAGGAATAATTTTGTACATTCTTTGCTTCTGGATGAACGGGGAGGATGGTTTCAAGCTTAAAGCAGGAGATTTGCATAATATAATTACCTGCGACTTTGGAGGAGCCATATCTCGTGTGTCTCAGTTTCCCATCTTTAAATTAGGGTAATATATTGGGAATCCTTTATCTGTTTGGATTAGGGTATGGTACCTTGTGCTATTGGCCTTGGTCTCATCTAAGGTCTCAAAGTCATAGGAATCATAATGTGAGATAGCAAGGGCATGATGCGGGGTCTGCTGAAATGTTATTTAATTCAGCCTAGCCCCAAACACTTAAATATTGCCACCTAAAGTGAAAAAGGCATGAAGTCTTGTGAACAAAAGCAATGGTTAGTCAGCAGAGCTATGCAGGAAGTTAGCTGCCTCAGGGATCTGTACCAGGTGTTTTAATAAAATTAATGATCTGGTGATTTTTTTCTTCACATTGTTTTGCATGTGGAAGAAATGGAAGTGGCCTCACTCCTGGAAGCTGCCTATATTCAAGGCCCTATAATATCTCAGTCCAAGTGCAGCCCTCAGATGGAGAAATGGGAAAGGAGCTCCCCGTACAGCCGCAAATAATTTTTCTGGATAAACAGGTAGTGATTTACCTCCCTGCAGAAGTGCGACTGTGTTAACTCTGTGTGACATTATCCGCCCCAAGCACTCAGAAACCATGAGAATATCTTAAAAACACGATTTCAAAAAATATTCAATTGTATTAATTTGTCTTCACATTTCTGAACCTTTAAGATACGCTCGGTTCACATTTTCACGCTTTTCTTGGCTAGAAATTTACTTCAAAAACAGGGACCCTGAGCTTCTGCTTCCAGCTCTTGATTACTGCTAGTGGGCCTTAAAAAAAAATAGCACCAAATATTGCAAGATTTACAAGGAGATCACAGGAAGTTGGCAGCACTCTGTATGGTTGGGTTTGCTTGGCTCCTTCTGTTCCTTATTTCCCTTTGCTGATTTTGAGAAGCTTGACAACTCTTGACACTAAAAGCTAAAGCTTTATATTGGGATCCAGAGCTGGGCTTTTGGGTAACAGTCTTAGCATCAGAGTGGGGGAAGGGATTTCAAGGGTCATTTGCTCCAACCGCTAGGCCAGATTCCCTGGCTGGGCATTGAACCCTAGGCCACAGTAGTGCAAATGTCAAAGGCAAACCACTAGACGACCAGAGAAGAAATGGAAGTGCTTGACACTGGGCATGTCTATGCGAGACGCTTACTGCACAGTAGCCTAATAATACTATGCAGTAGCGTGCCAGTCAAAAGCCATGCAAATATGCTACTGTGCAGTGTTATTAGGCTACAGCACAGTAAGTATCAAAAAAATACCGTGCGTCGGCACTACTGCACAGTAACCGTAGTTACTGTGCATTTAATTAGTACTTCATTAAGCAAGTACTAAACAAAATGCACAGTAACTACTGCACACGAATGAACATGTAAAGAGCATTAACAATCTGACCTGGACTCCAAATCATCAGTGAGGCTTAGAAAACATTTTTATTTTAAATGACAACTTTTGACTTCTTTTTATTTGTCTACTTGTGTCAGAGTCGATTGTGTCAAAAGCTGTTGTGCTTTTCTAGGTGATCGGGGGGCTAGAAGAGCATTTTTTTTTTTTTTTAATACTCTGACATTTGAGATGTCTGTTTAATCCCATGAATCTAGGAGCTGAGACTTTGACATCCAATACTGGGAAATTCACAATAAAAGCATGAAGGTTGGCAGCTGACAGAGTTTAGGCTCCTCTCTATTATACTGTGGGCATGTCTACATGAGATGGTTACTAGGGAGCAGACTAATTAGCTCCTCGGTAAAGTCTCAGCGTCTACATGTGCAATGCTATTAGGCCGGAGTAAATTAGTTTACAAGTACTAACCTGTGCTGGAGTAAAGTACTCCACCGCAGCACATGTGTAGATGGGGACCAGGTTGTCTGCCTTGCACTGGGGTACCAGCATGCCCCAGCCAGCCCCTCCACAGCGTGTTGAGCCAGGTTGGAGCAGCCCCAGGCTGGCAAGCTGACCCCTAGACCTCCTGCCAGCTGGGGCTGCTCTGATCTGGCTCAGCATGCTGCAGAGGGGCTGGCTTATTGCACAGGAGCAAAAAAATCCAGCATCATATGCATTGGAGTTTATTGTGTCACACTAATTGCCCATGTAAAAATGCCCTGTGTGATGCCGCGTGAAACACCTAGCATGCGAATACATATTATCCAGCTGCTAGAGTTTAATAGATGAGCATTGCCTTTAACTCCTCCCTCCGCTGTAAACTCCCATTCACCTGGAGGAAAAGGAAGAAGGAAACCTTTTCTTTCTCTTCTGTTCTTCTCAGGGTCAGAGAGTTGAAACACTGGGGCTGCCCTCCGAACCCTGGGTCGTTGAAGCCTATCTCAAGGGCTCCTCAAAGGCTGCATTGAAAGGTTTGGACATGTTTTCTTGCATATAGGGGGGCGGAAAAAGCATGCATTGGAAGTGATGCCTATACATCTGAGAGAAAGATTTTGTTTGAAGGCTCCGAGTTGGAAAGGGAACAGTGTCATGGGCTGCTCAAGCACATAGAAAGGAGGCTTTGAAAAGCATTTCTGTGTCTGGCCAACTTAAAGGGACACTGCCCCATAGTTGAAAACCCCAAATAGAAACCTTAGAAAGAAGAAAAGAGGTGGAGGATGATCAAGCATGTTAATCTACTCCAGGTAGTGTTCATTGACCTAGTTCCATTAAAGTCAACAGCGCTACATCTGTTTACACTCATGGCGAATCTGACATAATGTGATAGAAAAAGCTGCTTAGGTTTATTCTCATTTCTTTTTTCAATGTGAGAATGTTTTCTAATGAGGGATTTGAACATTTCCCTTCTGGTCCTGATTTAGCAACTGTATCAGCTTGTGCTTAACTATTTCCAATGCGGTTCTTGGGACTGATCGCATGTTTAAAATTTCAGTTTAAATAAATGATTACCAACATAACATCACATTGGCTAGGCTGATTTCCCTGTCAGAGCTGGGTGAGGTTCACAAGGCAAACGGACAGTGTGGAGGGTGAAAAGTAGGCGGTTCTGCTATATTCCTACCAAGTGCCCGTCCACAGTCATGGCAAGTGTATCTTAGCTGTGAATTGCCAAGATCGCCTTTGAGGAAACAGAAGGGGTAAAAAGCTTCTGTGCTGTGGATCAACCACGAGCTATCGGACCTAAACACTAAAGCCCTTGCTATACGTTACATTTATTACACCATTTACTGGTTGATTATGCAGTAAATTTAGACTGGCCACACATGCAAAGTAAGACCGTCCACACGGACAAAGTAATTATTACACACTGAACTGGTTATTCATGCAATAAATTTAGACCAGTCACACATACACAGTAATTATCCCATGCTAAAAATAACTATCCATTGATAATGTAGCCAACCAGGTACAAAGTTAGTGCTTGAAAATGTGTCAGTCTGATATCTTTTATCAGACCAACTCAAATAGTTGGAAAAAAATCTTCTTTGCAAGCTTTCGGGCTCAAACACCCTTCATCAGGCTGAGGAAGCATCTGCACTTGGTCTGAGCTCTTCCTGGAAGGAAGGAATAGTAAAGAAGCCAGTGTTTGTGCCTGAAAGCTTGCAAGGATAAATTTTTTTCCAACTATTTGAGTTGGTCTAATAAAAGATATCAGATTTTTGTCTGCCTTAGACCAACACGGCTACAACCCGGACTGCTGAAAATGTGTAACAACTCTAGCTGGTTTTTATCCAGATTTCATTTGAATGTTTCATAGTTTCATAGTTTCATAGTTGGTGGGGTAGGAAGGGACCTAAGCAGATCATTTAGTCTGACCCCCTGCCATGGGGAGGAAAGGATGCTGGGGTCAAATGACCCCAGCTAGGTGGCTGCCTAGCCTCCTTTTGAAGAATGTGTAGCAGGGTCCTCAGTGACATTTGATGGCTTAGACCAGGGGTGGGCAAAATGCGGCCCGCGGGCCAGATGCAGCCCACCAGGCCATTCTGTCCATCCCACGGGGCCCCCCAAAAATGTAGAAAATTAATAGTTATCTGCCCCTGGCTGCCTGTCATGCGGCCCTCGATGGCTTGCCAAAACTCAGTAAGTAGCCCTCCGCCTGAAATAATTGCCTGGCTTAGATTATGCAGGAAAGTAGACTAGATGATAGCAATGTTCCCTTTTGATGTTAAAATCTATAAATCTATTAATTTCTAGGTCTCCCTGCCAGGATTTCCAAAAGCCAGCCCTGGTCCTCAGCTTAATATAGCTCCATGGAAGCCAGTGGGATAAGGGGAGTTTTTACAAACTGGGGATCAGCTCTATGGTGGCAGTGACAGGCTTGGTTTTAAAGGGTAAACAGAGACTGTCCAAATTCATTTCACACCGTGCACAGAAAACAGTCTGAGAGGGACGGGTTGCAAGCACTACTAATTTCTACTGGACTGAAACCAGCATCCTAAAGAGGAACATTTCTGATGCCCTGAGCCAGGGTCCTATTTCACATTACTTTTGGATAAAGCTTTATAAAAAATCAGCCTTTTTTGTGAGCTGGGAAGAATCACTTTTTTTTTCACCAAAATTCAATAAATTGCAAATCAGAGAAAGAAAGGCAAAAAAAAAAAGAGAGGCAGAGAAATTAAAAACACATGGAAGGAAAAGACTCAAATAAAGAATAGTCACTGAAGTGAAATGCACTTTACATTCTTTAAAAGATACATGCATCAAATTAATAGTCAATAAAATCCGGCAAGGAATGAACTGCGTTGTACAGATGTTCTGCGTGTAATAGTTTGCTGCAGTTTTTCCTTTGACAAACGTCCTTATTGAGCTCGTCTTTTGAAGCATATGAAAGCAGCATTTAATCGAAATGGGTCTGTCTAGCACACTGAGCCCGCTTCATCTGACAGCAGCCAAACTACCTCATGCAAAGTAGTTTAGCTCCAAATTAGCTCGCTTCTGCGTTAAATACCAGCTTGCCTCAGAGATCTTTGTAAAGACTCCCATATATATCTATAATATTCGGAGATTTGAAGCATATGTGCCCAAAAGCTGAAATCGTCTCTGGTAAGGGGTACAGTACTGTACTGCAGGCTTCACCGTAGACTGGGAATGGCAGTTATAAAATATTTGAATGCTGTTGACAGGATCTTCTATAAAATGGGTGTTACATCTGGTGGTAGAGCTGAAAATACAATGGTAGAGCTGAGAGTGCTATCAAGGCAGGCACGGTCGGGGATGAGGATCATATACACTTCATAGATATAAAACGATGGGCCAGGATTGAAACAACACCTAGAATTTTTCATGTTCCTAGGAGGACCAGAAATATTTACATCACGGTAGCCCTTAGAGACCCCCCGTACTGAGATCAGGATTTCGTTGAAATGGGCATGGATAGAGCACTTAATATTGCACAGTCCTCACATTAGAACAGAAAGCTCTCAAAATGGTTAAGATAGAGGCTGAGAGAGGAAACAAAGGCACAGACAGGGTAAGGGAGAGCTGGCAACAGAGCTCAGATAGGTGCAGGATGCTCTCCTTAAGCCGGTCCCTGCTTCTTCCATGACTAGTGAGTTTACAGGTAAAAAAAAAGACATAGTGAGATGCTATTGTCTCATCACATCTATAACCGTGTGTTTCTTCTTAAAACCTCCCTTTTGATACTGGGCAGCAGTACCTGGACTGGCATGCCTTTCCCCTCCTCTCAGTCCATCTCATTGCTCCCATTCTGTGCTGGATCAGCTCTGCAATACTCAACAACCCTTGTCGGGTTCAGTTCCTCAATAATGGTTGTGCCATTTCAATAATCCCCATGCTGATGGGATATTGGCTTTTCAATGAGGTTCAGTTAAGTAAAACGATGTTATAATTTTCCTGCATAATGCACCCGGTCTATTAAGATGTATTAAGTGAGGTTCCATAGGTATCTGCCCTGTGCCTTGCGCACACCATTGTTTTCATGAATGATTTTGATGGTGAAACAGCGTGAATACTCATGACTTTTTCGGGCAATACCAAGGTGGGAGGGGTGGCAAGCACTCCGGAGGACAGAACTAGATTTCACGATGACTATGACAAATTTGAGAAATGGTCTGAGATAAAAAAGATGTGATTCAATAAGGAAAAAATGCAAAAGGTGACTGCTTGATAGGAACTATTAACTGCAGAAATACAAGATGGAGCAGGACTGCTATCCAGCGTCACTGAGCAGATGTTATTGGAGGTGGCAGTGGATCATAAACTGAACACAAATCAGGAACACTATATGAAAATGAAAAATAATTAATATCTGACTCTCTATGTCCAGTGTTCATCCCAATGGACCGCTAACCTCAGCTGTGATGTCTAGGGACTACTGTGATATATAAATAAGTCTATAAGAAGTGTGTTGTGATACTTCTATTATACCTAGCATAGGGAAGGCCTCAGCTGGAATCCAGTACCTAGTTTTGGATACCGGACTTCAAGATAGATGTTGATATGGGTGAGAATCAGGGGACAGCAACAAAAATGATCAGTGTAGGCCAATGGTTTTCAATGCTTTTTTCATATGTGGGGCCCTAAACAGTTTTGAATGGAGGTGCGGACCCATTCGGAAATTTTGAATGGAAATGCAGACCCCTTTGAATTGTAAGTGCGGGTATTCACATACTTTTGATTGATCATAGTCATCTTTCATGGAGCCTTTAGACATGATCTTCAGATTCCCAGGGCTCTGCAGACCGCAGGTTGAGAACAACAGGACTAGAAGCCATGACAGAAGGAGAAAGACTGAAAGAAGTAGGCTTGTTTAGTCTAGTGAAGGGAAGAGTGAGGAGTGATACAAGAGCAGCCTTCCAATATATAAAACGTTTCTACAAAGGGGAAGGTAGTAAATTGGTCTCCCTGAGCACTTGAAGATTTACAGGTTTAAGTCAGAATAAGGGGCATCTAAGTTAAACATCAGGAAAAACTCACTAATTGTAAAGACAGTTAAACTAGCATAGGTGACCTAGAGAAGCTGTGCAATCTCCATTATTTCAGGTTTTTAAGAATGGCTTAGACAAATATCCACCAGAAATCATCTAGGGGTAGATGATCGTACTTCTGGGGTAGGAAATGGATTAGGTAAACTCCTTCCATTTTTTAATGATACCTGTGATGTGGCAGCTCTAAAATTGGCATCCTTTGTACTGTACTAGTCCACATTACTACTTTTAGGATTATTTCTAAGGAGTCTGATTGCAACCCCTTCCTTCATTTGGAGTAATATTTTGAGTACTCCCTTTTAATCAAGGGGTTATTTTTGCAGTGGGGCATGACTCAGTATAAGAAGGATATCAGAGCCTGGTCTGTAAATGAAGGCCCGTTCTTCCTTCCTTTGAAGAGTACTGTGAATCTGCAGTTTCAGCGCCATTCTGAATGCAGGTGTCTCTGACAAGGCTTTGTGAAG